TGGAGGCCAGAGACCTCCACCCCCTCGAGCGAGCAGGCTTTGAAGAGGGACCAGGGGGGCCACCAGGGCCACCAAGCAGAGCCACCTGAGCCTGCCAGGCGGCCACCCTGACGCCCTGTCCTCCACAAGCATCTTGGTCTCCGTGTGTGAGGCCGGCCTCCAACCCGGCCTCCACTCTGGGCACCTGTGCAACACACCCGCCCCGGCTGGGGTCCCCGGGCCCCTGATGAAGACAGACTTGGGGCCAGACCAGCAGGGTCCTTTGTCACCCCTCCCCCCCCCAGAATCTCGGCCACCAACCTGGCAGCCGGGGTGCCCGTTGTCACCTCCCCGGCGTCACAGGGGACCCCGATTCCGTCTCAGGGTGGGGGGGTGTTCTGGAGGCTGAGGCCTCGAGGCTGGCCTCCCCTGCACCTGCGCTTTCTGGAGGACCTTGGGGGACAAAAAGCGGAACGGCCCCGTGTCCCCCCTCTTCAAGAGCCTCTGCCTCCTCGAGGGGAGAGGTCTGGTCTCTGGCCTCCACTTGCGGCCCTCCCCCTGCACGGCCTACAAGCTCGGCCCTCACTGTGCTGGACATCATTCTGGCGCTGGGTTCGGCTCTCCGTGACCCTGTGACCCAGTGTGTTGACAAGCCCCAAAATGGCTGCGAGGCATTTCCCGGAGGACATCCCTAGTGGCCGGCCCTCCCTTCCACTCCTTCAGCCCTATCCTCTCCGTGAGCTGGCCGCGCGTCTTGTCCCCTGCCCAGCCTCCCGTGGGAGCCTCCACTCTCCCAGCCCATCTGTCTGAGCCAGTCAGCGGGTGACAAGTGACACTGGAGCACGGGGCCTTGCAGGGAGGCCACCAAGGGTCTGGGGACTGGAGTCCCTGCACGGGGTGACCAGGCAGAGACCTGGGGTTGGGGCAGCGCTCAGCAGGGCCTGTCCCCAAGTGGTGGCCGTCTCTGTCCCAAGTGGTGGCCATCTTCTGTCCCCAAGTTGGTGGCCGTTCTCTGTCCCCATGGTGGCCATCTCGTGGTCCCCAAGTGGTTGGCCGTCTCTGGGGGGTCCCAGTGTTGGCCGTCTGCTCTGTCCCCAAGGTGCCGTCTCTCTGTCCCCAAGTGGTGGCCGTCTCTCTGTCCCCAAGTGGTGGCCAATCTCTCTGTCCCGCAAAGTGGTGCCGTCTCTCTGTCCCCAAGTGGTGGCGTCTCTGTCCCCAAGTGGTGGCCGTCTCTGTCCCCAAGTGGTGGCCGTCTCTCTGTCCCCAAGTGGTGGCCGTCTCTCTGTCCAAGTGGTGGCCGTCTCTCTGTCCCGCACAGTGGTGGCCGGCTCTTCTGCTCCGCAAGTGGTGGCGTCTCTGTCCCCAAGGTGGTGGCCGGCTCTGTCCCAAGTGGTGGCGATCTGCTCTGCCGCCAGTTGGTGGGCCGGTCCTCTCTGTCCCCAAGCTGGGTGCCGTCTCTGTCCTCAGAGTGGGTGCCGTCTCTCTGTCCGCCAAAGTGGTGGCCGGGCAACCGGACCCTCCCTACCGGGGGACCTGCCTCTGACCTCCCCGCGGGGCGAGCTACCTGCGTCCGCCTGGTCAGCCGCCAGGGCCCTTTGTCTGCCAGGGGGAAAACGGACCCGTGTCCCCTGCGTGTGGCGCCAGCGGCCGTGGCCCGCCTCCCTGGCACCACCTCCTGGGGACTTTGAGAGTATGCCCGGTTGTCGGGTTTGTATGCTAGTTGATTGCTTTTGGTTTTTGAGTAAGAAGAAGTTTATGTTGTATTTTTTGGTATTCATTTATTTTTATTGTTCATTTAAGAAATGTGTTTGTAAGTATTTAGAATTTTGGTTTCATTGTGAATTTGTTTGTTGATTTTTTCAAATTTATTTGTTTTATTTTCATGTAGAAAAATTCTTATTTTTGTATTTATTGGTATTGTAGTGAGTTGTATGTGTTTAGCAGAGAAGAGAGGTTTATTGGTATTTATGTTGTGTATGTTTAGTTTGTATTTATTTTATGTTCTTTTTAAGAGGGATTTTTTTATGTATTTTTTATTGTGTGATTTGATTTTTATTTGTTTAAATTTGTGTGGTATTTGTTTTTTATGATGGTAGTGTATTAGTTTGTTACTTATTTTTTATTTTCATTTTTCAAATTGTTTTTTTATTCTTTGAGTTTTAGTTTATTTATTACTTAGTTTGTACTTAGTTGTTTGATGTTCGCATGTTCATGGGGTTACGGGATTTTAAGGGTTTCAAATAATGCCCTTCCGCTTTCCCCCGCTAAAAAATGTGTTTAATGGATAGTATAGGGTTCGTTGTTATTTTTGTGTGCGCAGGCTCGGTGGTACTTGCAACGATCCCGCGCGGGTTCGTGTTCAGATATTTAGTCTTTTTATTATATTTTTTACCGATTTTATGTTTAGCTGTTTATTCTGGAATTTATTTTTTCTCTTTATGCTATCATCGGTTCTGCTAAAGGGTTACATGTTTTCTGCGAGAGCAGGAGTCTCCGCCGGGAGGTGGGCGCCGTGCGTCGGAGCCGTCGCTCACAGGCAGCGCGCCGAGCCTGGGCCTCCAGGCGAGCCTCCTGCTTCAGCCTCCCTTTGGTACCTGGGATCCAGGCAGCGCGCCTCCGACGCGCCGGCTCATTTGTGTCTCTATATATTTTAGTTGTCCAGCCAGTGTTCTTTCTTTTTGAGTGAGAGACGGGTCTCGCTCTTGGTAATCAGGCTGGCCTCCAACTCCTGGCCCCAGCGATCCTCCCGCCTCGCCTCCCTCCGAGTAGCTGGGACTACAGGCGACGCGACCACCCGGCCCGGCTGCATATCTTCTCTCATGG